TCTTCTGGAAAATTCAATCGGTTCCACAAGAAAATGGCCGTTAATAGAGCTGACTGCTTAATTGAGGTGGCCGTTTCATCAGGTTTCACTGTGTGTCGAAAAATGCAAAATGATTAGAATGGGTTCATAAGTGTTACTTTCCTGTTCCATAGTAGTAGAAGCAGGAAGTGTCTCAGCAATGGACGTATTCACACTGCACAACGGAGACTTTCAGATATGCCGTAATGCTTCCGCATTTTGTGAAGGACAAGATTCAAAAGTTCGTTTAGAGGTCCACACGTTAGAAACAGGTGTAAGTTACACGCGAGAGCTCACACATCCTCGCAGGTAAAATATCAATAGTCCGGGAGAATAAAGCAATATGACTTCCACGGACACGTGGAACCAATGGATAACGTACGTAATCGTTCGAAAAAGCACGCTGAAGTCATGATCTAGCGCAGAATCCACTTGAGTCCCGTTTTGGGGGTTCAGTGTACATTAACGAATATTTGTTAATTTGTAGTTTTTACGAATTTATCATATCGTGTTTTTACGTATCCTTTACCATTTACTTTCTGATGTTTAAGCAATAATTTTGAAGCAAGACTGTTTGCGAGAAAGTGCCAGAACTGTACTTTGCTTGGGATCACATGCAATTATCTTTTAAAATACCTTCAAATTCATATGATCCGTGACCGTGCGATAAATGCTATGTAGTACGGTAAATACACGCGGTATACGGTACACAATAGTAAACAGAAAATGTAGCTGTATGATCACTAATAATTACTACACATTATGTTTACGTTTTGACGTCAGATACGTTTGAAATGCTTCTTTTTTATTTCATTAATAAGCTCTTTGCTTGGAATTGTTTTCAGGGGTTGGATATGTGGGTTATATACCAAGTCACAGACATTCCCAATCGAAAGCTGCAGAGAGTCATTCATTCCGCAAATTAAAGACTCCATCACGATGTCGAGAATGTGATTCCTATGTTTACTTCCAAGGATTAGACTGCAGTGAGGTAAGCAACTGTATTTTAATATACAGGTTATTTATATAATATTTTTATATAATGTTTAATTAATACACAGTTAATTATAATAACTAGTTTATTTTGTCAAAAAACAAATATGAAGTGATTGTGATGTTTTGTGAAGTAAATCTATATTTGCTGCCCATAAGAATACAATATTAGATAAACATTTCCATTCATTTGTCACAAACGTTTACTATCGCATTTTGTTTCTCAAAAGCTGTTTCCTTTTGAAATATCCATAGAAATTATTGAATTCGGAATAATTAAAATTTTCTCTAACAACAATTGAATCAATCATAAATGCAAATAGTGAAATATTAGGCTACCAAATATTCAGAAATAGTGAATATTAAAGTAAGCATGACATTTTGTGCAAACATATAGAAATGTTGTTTTGTTATGATTTGAGTCCTTGTAAAGACTGCTATGATTACGTCATTATGTGTTACGTCATTACAGTCTTTTTTTACGTCACTCGCGCGAGGAAATTTTTACCCCAGCTCTCGCAACAAGAAGTTTCCCCGTGGATCATTTCACGCAAAATCGAATAGACGCAAAATCTCATGTTCCAAACGAAGATTTGTAGATGGACTTTTACGAAAAATTAAAGACTCATATTTATATAAGTCTCAAAACATAATTTTGAATTAAATTACTAAACGTTTTTCAATGTTTTTGTATAATTTATATATAATTGCATCAACAAATTGGTATTTAGCAACTATTACAGGTATTATTCTACATTGATTGATGATATTACGATAGTTTACAAAATGTATAATAAAAATTGACTTACAAATATTACACTTTATCAGTATTGTAGGAAGGATCAATTTACTTATTAAAACGGGTTTAAATTTCAATAAATATATTGATAGCTTTCCAAAGTGGAATGTGTTATCTTTCTTTTTTGAAGAATATAGAATAGCATCGTGTTTAAATCCAATTCAATAGCTTTGGTAGTTGTATCTGGGGCATATTTTAAAGATGTGATCGAGGTTAAATTTGGTATCATAGTTCACACATCAGGGGGATAAGAATTTTTGCAAAAGGTAAAGATGACATATTTTGCAAAGCCTAGATCTTATTCTGGAAAGGGCTACTTGCTCCCTGCGGCCTATTTTCTTATTGATAGTATATGCTTACTGATGTTGTGTGTAGCATGCTGGCTTTGTTATTTGCCCAGTGCTAGTTACATTGTGAACGTTGGTAGACATTTGTAAATCAATCATCGATGTTATTTTACTGATATCTTTAGTTATTAAGAGAAATTCAAATTGATAAGCGATCCATGCAAAAACTGAATTTAACCCTGCATTATAAATCTGAAAATATTGCTCCGTAACAACTGAATTAATTTCAGACATAGCTCTTCTGTTGCACTAGTTCATTGATAATAGATGACTGTAAAGTAGAAGCTGGTAGCTTAATATTTTTGCGAAAGAGAAACGTGTTTGTAGAAAATTTTATTCATTTATTGAAAATTTCTTTTCTTTATACATTGTACCGCCCTTCAACAAAGTATTCGCATTAATATATTTAATTTTCAAAACTTCACTTTAAGAGAAATCTAATCCAACGTGCGAGAGCTGGGGTAAAAATTTCGCGAGCGAGTGACGTAAAAGAAGACTGTAATGACGTAACACATAATGAGTAATCATAGCAGTCTTTACAAGGACTCAAATTATAACAAAACAACCTTTCTATATGTTTGCACAAAATTTCGTCCCCTGACTGTCGACCACTGGCGTTTGTGGTTGCCCTCAAAATTATCTCAAAATTCACAGATTCGGTTGCATATAAATGAATTATTATTATTATTATTATTATTATTATTATTATTATTATTATTATTATTATTATTATTGTTATTATTATTAGTCACAAATTCACAATTTAAGATGTTAAGTGTACGTTATACATAAAATCTACTGCACAGTGCAACCTGCTGTCTAAGCAACAGATGTGTCTCTCTATAGTACTTGGCCCAAAATATCAACTGCTTCTAATAACGCGATGACTTTTACTCTCCAGCCTTTTGAATGACCTAGAAGTTTGTACAAGTTTTTGCGTAGAAGTTAGCGTAGACGTTTGCGTTTTTGCGTAGTTTGCGACAAAAATTCCATTGCATCAATATCTATTGGTTCGATCTGTGTTTTTGCGACTCACATCCGGCTGATCTCGATTCTCTTACTTTTGTATTTAAAACGTTTCTCTGCCTCCTTGGTTGCGCCGTTCAGATCGCATGGCACCGCAACATCTAGAGGGAGACGCGATTTCTTCTCCAAATAACGGATAACAATATCATGTTAGTTTGCTGCTACCGTACGCTTAGCATGGAATTTGTTTGATACTACAATATTGCATAATCCAAAGGACGTCACAGATTTTGGTGGGTGTTCGTACTACTTGAAGCACATGTTTGGAACTTGGAGGGCGTAACAGATCTTCCAGTAAAGGTAACTAGAGTCCCTATTATGCCGTTTCAGGTATACCGACTTTGCTAGATTTATGTTGATAATAATAATAATAATGATAATTATAATTATTATTATTACTATTATTATTATTGTCGTCGTTGCTGCAGCTTAAACGTCCTAAACTGACATTGTAAAATCTAAAATCACCTAAACATTAATAAAATGAGGGTAATAATTAACACACATTTGAAAACAGAAACTAAAACTATACATAAGATGATAATACTTTATAACATGGTCTGGTAATATAAAAGGTCTCCATTAGAAAGAAAACGATGAAATAGGAAGGAAGCGCCCATTTGCTCTTCGAACGAGGAATGTCACAATAAAGAGGCGGCGAGCTTCTCTCCACCACATCCTCAACGTTCCTGTCATCCTCCAAGCTAATTGCGCATTAAGTCCGAAGGATAAGGGACAGTTACCGTACCTATTTCAGTAAATGCTAAAGTTTCTTTTCTAAAATTATTAACTGATATCTTATTTCTTAATATGTGACATACGAACGTACGCCACCACGAAAATACTGGTGACGGGTAAATAAGTACAGAAATAAGTTTAAAATCGTATTCTACTACACTCTGTTACAATGACAAATAGTGTTTTTTTTTAAATTTTAATGTATCATGCTATTTTACAACTAGAGTTCATATTGGAGGTATTATTTATACCAGAAATTATTAATTAGATCGCTCATATTTTATTTATCATTTTTATACCAGAAACTCTTTCATGCAGAAGATGCTTAATACAGAAGGAGCTAAAATATTCATGAACTGTATTACTATTATTTAAGTGAGCTTCCATACACAATGTATCATTTTACCCGCACATGGAAAGTACCGCAATGATCAGATGGTCGAGGCAACTTGACGAAAACCAATTCTGCACATTGCAACACACGGTGGAGTAACACGAAAGGGAACCCAGCACGGAGCAACAAATCACATGAACTCGCGTAAGTATAGTTCGCGAAAGGACAATTTCCTTCGACTAGTATACGATGAAGTCCGTTTGAAGACAATTCCATACTGTGCAATTACAAGCATAATTTGCTTCGCGCCAATTTTGTACGAAACTATTGTCCCTGTGCTTCTGTTAGTGTAACAGACCTCATTTCTCTGTTGCAAACATCCCAGTGTTTCCGCGCTAGGGCTCACCACTAAGTGAAGCGGCATCATCTACGACATCAAGGTGCGCACCTCGAAAACGTAGTGTTTCGTTATCACCGCGACAACACTACCCCACCACGGCGCGCCGTTCTTCCTGTCCCGGTACAGCCTGATTTAATGTTACCGTATACTGTAGCGGGCACGTCATTCCGATTATATCTTTCATATGCGGGTAAAATGATACACCTCACTTACCAAATTTATTGGCAATGCACGCTAATCCTATTTTAATTGTAAGTGTAAAATATGAATATTTCAGGTTAATTTCAGTATATCATAATATATTACACACATTCTTTTGTATGTGAAACAGTGTGGTTTGGCTTGCCATAAAAAATGCCTGGAAACGTTGGCCATTCAATGTGGTCACAAACGTTTACCGCGGAAAATGACCACTTTCGGCGTTGATTTGTCCCAACACCTTGGAGAAACAGGAACCTCCGTTCCGAACATAGTGTGCAAATGTGTTGATGAAATTGAGGCTCGAGGTCATCTTATCAAGGTAAGTACGTACACGATGTATAAGTGTAAAATAATACAATTTCACCTGTATTCATAATTCAACTTTTATGAATAAATGAGATAGGGTAGAAATCTCATAAGTGGAGAAAACGTGCACAGAATACACTTCTCCCTATAGTTACACACAGAATTCACTTCTACTCGGGTTTAACTGTTTTTGACGTTGAATAAATAAATAAATAAAAATGATAATGTGGAGATTTCTCTAAGTATACATTAAACGATGCATTAATGTCCCGTTGAATGATTATGACCAGCATATAAATCCTGTTCCCCATTCTTTCCTCTTGGACAAAGCGCCAGATAGAGTATATTCGTTAAATTTTTGTTCATGTTTTCTAGTTTCATAGCAGAAATAATACAGTAGTACACAGTAATAACAAATATTAAAGATTAAATGTTTACTTTGTAATAATGATGCAGTTATTAAATTGTGTCATTTTGCATACTATTAAGAATTTCGACTGTTCTAGGGTATATACAGAGTGTCCGGAGTGAAATCACGTGTAGAAAAATTGTGCCAAGCTTTTGAAAATGGAGCAGAACTGGTGGATTTGTCTGATATTCATCCAAATGTAATTGCCAATGTTCTTAAACTGTATTTGAGGCAACTCCCGGAACCACTTCTTACTTTTCGCTTATATCCGGAATTTGTAAGGTAATGTATTATTTTCTAAAAATCTTCTGTATGATAGTCTATCTTTATTTTTTTATGTTGGCATAAGTTTTCACGTACCACGTACACAGTATTAAAGACAGTGTTTTCCTTATCGTATGAAAATTTTATTTTTATTTTTCATAACATTCATGACATTTCGCAGTCAGATGTGACTGCATCACTAGGTGCTTATTGCGATTAATTCAAAATCTTCATCTCATTAAGACATTCATTAAAATAAGACAATTTAAAACAATGAACACTTAAAACAACTTCTAAAACTAAAAATAGTTTTAACTTAATTAATTATTAGAACAAGAGGCCATTATCATTGACGTATAATTCAAAGTGCGAAATGATATTATGAAAAATAAAATAAAATGTTCTTCTGATAAGGAAGAATATTAAAAATCTCATCTCAATGTAAAATTTATTTTTTCTTTTCATTTTATCATATTATTATTAACTACAATTTTTTCCAACTTGTAGAATCGCCAAAGATTATCCTACGAATTCGCCAGCCGATATTAAAGCAGCAAAAGAAGAATTAAAAGAATTGGTTAAGAAGCTCTCACGGCAGCACTACCTGACTTTAGGTCTCTTAATGTTGCATTTGAAGCGCATTTCGAATGATGCTGAAGTGAACAATATGCCGCCTAGTAATTTGGGCATTGTATTTGGGCCAACTCTGCTGCGCACCGCTGAAGGAAGTGCGTCTCTAAGCTCTTTGGTGGACACAATACATCAGACTCGAGCTATCGAACTTCTTATTACTCATGCCGATGAAATATTCAATCCTCAAGAAATAGTGTTAGCTCGAGAAAATAGTTTAAAAATGTTGCGCAGCAGTACAAGTAATGAAAGCAGCTCATTAGGTCGTTCTTTCTCCTTCATGGACCGTAAGAAGCCTAAAGACCAGGACAACACAGTTTATGCGCCTTGTGATCCAAGTGAGACTAATCCAGGTACGTATTTTCTTTTCCCTAACCCTTCTCTTCTAACCGATACATAATATAATTTTTCGTGATTCTAAAGTTTGCGTTGTATCTACCGACAATATTTACGAAAACTCTATTCTATCGGATATGGATGAAGAGAAACGTAAATTGACGAAATTGATGCGAAAATTAAGTCAGCTTTGTATCCCGCAGGGCCCGTGAGAATTGCAGTGTCGTTGCTGTTGACAATGACACTAATTACTTGTCGAGTGTACAACAGCGCTTTGACTATTGGAAATGCGCACAATCCGTTGATATACAAGCTGCGATGTAAATGAAAAATTACAACAAGAAAAAAAGACACTTTCAATGGCAATATATCCTTCTCAGAAATGGTAAAGGAATTATTTATTGGTAATATTATGAGGAACTGGCTGGTATTTTTTCGCAAGAAATAACTCATCAATATATAAAATGTGACAGTAACGAAAGAAGAAATTAGTGAGCAGAATCGCAACCCAAAACGTACCTTGAACCCAGATAATAAGTCGTCGCCCCTCATGTGTTCGAATTTTCGGCCCCCCGCCCCCACGCTCCACCCGGCTTTCTGGCACGCCATATACAGCTCTTTTAACCTCTGACCGGGAAGGTTCAAGAACCGCCGTTGGCGGATTTTCGGCACTAGCTACGTAGCTAGATCGAATTCAGCGGCTGTCTCGAGAGAATTCTAATGGCCGACTGCTCTGATCGACAGTTTTCCGTGGTTTCTTTAATTAATAACAGGCGAAACTCGGAGCAGTACCCGAACAAACCACGGACACGCGCGATCTTTCCTTCCTTGTCCTATCTTATCTCCATATTTATACTACGATTTGAACATAGAATCACTTCAAGGTCACTAGTTGGAAAGAGAGGGGGATATTGTAATCCAATCGGGAGCTCCAATACCTAAACTTTAAGTCGTAACGATGCACCCATTTGGATGACAGTTTCCCCCCTCCTTCCAGCTCGTGTCCTTGAAGTGCTACTATGTTTATTAACATTTCCCCTTCCGTGCACCTCATACGCCGGGATATTAGTCGAGATCTTGTCCCCGTTGGGCAGTACCCCTCTGGGGGGAGATACCAGAAGGGGATATAACCGCAAGCCGACATGTAGTCGGCACCGAATCTCACCGTCCAGCGGGGGAGGAATATCTCCAGCTTTTGCGATAAAATATTCACTACACAAACGTGACTAATGACCACAGCAGTTGTCGTGCCCAGAAACATCAATAAATCCATCGACCTGCCATGATTATCCAGCCCACATCTCCTGTTCCGCCCATCCATCTCCTCCCACTCTGCTATTTCCGTCGGTCACTTTCCGCCCGCTTCTTCCGACCTCTCCGTTGCGCCCATTCCATCCGCTTGTCCCGCTTTATCACGTCTCCTCCTTCAGCTCCTTTCTTTTCTTTCGCTCCTCTCGTTCAGTCGGCTCTGAGTGCTCCTTGTTCTCCTTGCGCCGTACTCGCTTCGCTCGCCCCTGCCCGATTCGCCCGCTCTTGCCGGGCCCGCTCGGCGCCGCCCCACGTCGTCCGGCAACACCAGACAACTTTCGGGGGTTTGCCTTTAACTACGTTAACTAAACTAGTGGTGCTACAGAATGGCACAGACTTTTCCGTATTAGTTTTCTATTTCCTTTCTCTCGGCAAGCTATTTGGACTTACCATATAGTTTTGCCAGTTGCTATCTACCACCGTCCAAAGTACATTTGTTTTGAAAATTTCTTAATTTTTCGGTTTCTTAATAGTAGAACGGAAATATCAATTAAAGAACAGTAAAACCTCGTCCTAAATAGCATTTTTCCTTGAAAACTTTGGAACCGTTTTTAAGAAAACAGCCTTTAAGCACTACTGTAAATTCGAAATTTGAAGCTCTTATTTAGAGAATTTTTTTTAGTTTTAGAAAAACTTCATTAGAAATTATTTGAAGCATTTCACCTCACAAATACAATAGTGTTTACAAATTGCTGTAAATATTCATATTAAAGGCGTGGGAGATCTTTCAAAAAAATGTATTTGGGTAATTTAAAAAAAAACAACAAAAAATTCCCCAAAATGAACTTTACGTCATATTAAAGAATGCAATTGGCTCATTCTCTTCGAAAAGTTTCAAGAAAAATTTGAAGCCGTTTTTGGGAAATGGCGTTTGAGCGTTTGATAAAATACGGAATTTTGAACTAGTTTTCACAGAAAACGGTTGAGTTTTTGATAATTTTTATTTGACATTATTTAATGTACATAAATAATGTACTCATAAATATAATCATGTGAACAAATCACCGCTAATATAAATATTAACGATTCGAGAAACAAGTAAAAAAATACATTTTTGTAATTTTTGAAAAAAAATAGAGCAATATGACGTTTATGTCATCTCATAGAGTATATTTAGCACTATCCCCACCATAAGTTTAAAGAAAAAAATTGGAGCTGTTTTTGAGAAAATGTGTTTGTTATTTTTTAAAGTTGCACTTATTACGTGCAATATTGGGGAAACATACTTAAATTTTCAAATAAATATACATGACCTTAATGAAAGAACTAATTATGGACAACAAATTTCATTTGAGGGGAAAATCTTAATCTTTAATTTTGTAGCAGTAGGAAGACGCCGAAAAATTGAAACTTTTGCAATTTTTGAAAAATCGGAGTTAACGAACATAAGTCACCTTTCGGAGAAATCGGATATAAGTCACCTTTCTAAAGTATTTTAGTTTATTCTTACAAGAAATCTAAAGAAACAATTTGGAGCCGTTTTTGAAAAATTTTGAAAATGTCCCAGGGTTTTTATGTAAGGTACCCCAAAAATTTTAAGGAATATTTTTCAAAATCTCAAAGCTTTGACTCGAGCCAGGTCGACCGGGGAATATCCATTTTGAAAAATATCCTCCGTATGGTTTAGGCGCTAGTAGTGTTCACAGACGGACGAATGGACAGATGACGGTCTTAAAAAAAACAAAAAACAAAAAACAAAACAAAAAAAACCAAAAAAAAAAACAAAAAAAAACAACAAACAAACAACAACACTTTTTCGGTATCAGGGCACTACAAAACGTGTATTTACGTTGAAATATCGAAATCGATTTTTCGCAGCACGATATAACTTTCCGTCTACGACAAGATTTACCAACTTTTTCATTACTAGGGCCCGGCAATGAGTGTTTCAAAAATTCGCCATTTTCCGTGGCACGATTACGATACTTTTTCCCCCCTACGAAGTTAGATGAGAAACTAAAAAGAAAACCTTCGTAAGGCGAGAAAGTAACAATATGTAGTGCTATTTCAAATATTCCAAATTGGTTTCGTAACGAATCAATAGTAAACGAAGGAAAAACAGTTTAAAGGCATTTTTGCATTTCAAACAGGGAATTGCTCACTCTATTGAAAATGAACAAAGATCAGTTGGCTGATTTTAAGGTAACCAAATTTCTGTCAAATCTCAAATGGAATACTTATATAAACGAATTGAACACCAAATTAAGATTCAGGATTCCTTTACAAGTTCAGAACCATTTCAAATTTAGTCAGCTTTTGTGTACATAAAGTAGGGCCCCCAAGCACAAAATCTTGTTTCCCCCCTCCGGAAAAACTTCTTCCAGATTTACTAAAAAACATTCATTGCAATTGCTTCTGTGATTCACATAAATTTGGCCCTGGTTTTCATTCAGCTTGTTGTGTATATTTTGCTAAAGATGTGTTATATAATACTCTACATAATATAATTCAACACACATTGTAGGAATCATAATTACAGGTGCCAGTATCAACAGCTAACAGCAATAATGTAAATTCAGCACAACTGTAACTCCACTATCTGTGCACATTTTCTTGATTTCAGTGAGTAATATAGTTATCTATTCAAATTAACGTTCTTCACATTCTCACGGCAGTAAGACAATTCCTTCAGAAAGGGCATGATGGGGATAAGAGCCAAAATCGGCAGCTTTGCAAATAGTTTTTATCACATAACATCTATATTATCAGTTTTTGCCCAAAACACTCATTTCACCTTTATTCTTAATTTTACTTGTATATGTGTATAGGAGATCCCAGAATTTAAGAAGACATGCACAAAATACACTTCTCCCCATAGCCCGTCCCACACAGTTTTCATCTGTTTTTTTTTTTTTAATGTTAATTAAATAAATTATTCCATATATTATACGTGCATTGTTTTACCTGATATTCCTAAATGACAATGAACATTTAAATTGATACATAAGTTTAAATACCAAGTAAATTATTATCGGCTGTGTATCTGTTTCTGCATAATTAGAGACTATGCTGATCACCAAAAAAACAAAAAAACATGAAATTTATTTTAATAAAGAATTTAATAAATTAGTTACTATTTATATTGTATAATTCTAAAAGATTAAATGGGCATATAACAAGTATTGTACTTCAGTTTTGGGGTCAATAATCCCATTTTGATGAATATTTTGGTCCTATTTCCCATGATCCATTGAACAAATGCCGAGCCTTGAATCTTGTTTTACTTTCAGATATAAATGTACCATCATCATGTGCACATCTTGTTAAGCACTCTTTTTGCTAATGGCAGGTGGAGAAAGGTGCAAGAAGGGAGAGTTATTTTTTTATCAGCAACAACTCTGAAGAAACAATTTCAATCACAAAAAAATCTTTATTTCCAATTTTGTAATTATAGGAGGGGATTAAAAAGTTTTAATCTTTTGCAATAAATTTCAAAATTTCTCAGGCTCTCTGAAAATCAGACCTTGATTATTTTTATGTGTTCTTTGCTCTATTTGAGAAAAAAAATATTTTGGGGAAAAAAACGTTTTAGTCTGTCTTAATTAATTATGTTTTTGTGAAGGGTTAAGTCCATATTTTTTGACAGACAAATTCTTGTAATCTTCATTTATTCTATAATCGTGCAACAGTTTCGAGGATTGTTGCCCACCATCAGTCTGTAAAATTGAATTTTGAAATTTTATAATACAAATTTAAAATTATTTACAATACAATATTAAATTTGAGAAATTATGACAGACAAGAACTTACCAGATACATGAGCGCTTACAAAACAGATGGTTTTTACATTGACGTTCTACAGCTAACAGTTACTGGCAGACAAAATCAATTTCATACATTGGTGAGAGCAGATAAAATGATGAGTTCTGAGAGTCAGGACAAGTTAAGACAAGAAAAGGGGGAAGGGGAATATTTTGAAAGTACAAGTAAGAAAGCACAAGTTCTCCCTTCTTACTAACTTACTTGTTCTAACCTTCACAAAATCAACCAGATTGATCTGGGAATATCTATTTTGGAAAAATCTTGTGAAAGATTTAGGGTTTAGAGTTGTTTACAGACAGATAGACTGATGGGCAGACAGACAAACAGTGATGTTCAGACCGACATATTTTTTTGTGAAAATATTGTTATGATTTTCTTCTTCAGCATTACATAACTTTCTCATTGAAATGGACACTGTTTTTATTGAATAAGTAAAGCTTTTTCTATAATTCATTAACTGATAAAAAATTACCAGACATTAAAATACAAAAGTGAAACATCAAGTGAAATCTTGCCCTGTCTACATCCTGTGTTATTTTCTATTTCAGGCAATACTTCAGATGATGAAGTTCCATATTTTCTATCAATTGATGGTCCTTCCAAATTCAAAACATCACCACAATTGAGTCATGCTATACCTACTCCGAAAATTTTCAAGGGTTCTCTCAAGGACTATCAAGGTTTGGAAGGTGTGAGTGTAAGTATTCACTTATATCAATGAAATATGTCTTCATTAATAATAATTTATGAAAAATTCAGCAGCATATTTTCTAATAGTAATGATAAGAAATATACAATCAGTGCTCTATTCATTAATTACGAGTTCATGAAAAAAATATCTGTTTTCAAAATCCTATTTATTTCACATGATTTTTGTTTTGCTTTTTCAGCTTCCTTCTTTGGGTATGCGTCCAGTGGATGAGGGAGATATTAGTCATCAAAAATTAAGAAAAACTTTATCTGATACATCTAAAGAAAGATCTTGTCAAATAGAATCAGTGAGTACAAACCGTGGCATTGTGGTGAAGAAAACTGAAACTGAAAAAGTGAATGTGGTTTCAAGTTCTGCAGAAGAATGGTGTGATCCAGAAGGAATAAAATCTTTGCCAAAAGTTAGCGAAATCACTAAAAGTAAAGGTTGTGCTAATAGAGCAGAAAGTTCGGTAGATTCTGATTACAGTTTTGAATCACGAACCAGTTCAGTAGAAAGTCGCAGTTTTAGAGAATTGGATGAAGCAAGTGAAGTTTTCCTGGAATTACCAACTGGGTGGTCAAAGAAACGTAGTCCTATTCAGAATAATGGAGAAAGAAGACACATACTGGGATCAGGTGATTCTCCTTTCTCTTCATTGAGTCATTCATTGGATGAAAGTCAAGGAAGTGACTTTGCAGATGACATAGATCATGCAATTCGAAGAAGTATGGCTCATGTTCATACTTCTCATTCTCGAACTCAGGTATCTTCTACAAGCAAACAAGGTAAAGACATTAGATACAATAATGACAATTAAATTAAAAAACAAAAAATGTTGATAGCAGTTAAATTGTTTTTAAGTGATTTTTATATTGATTTTCAATAACTTTCCTAGTCTAACTCATAGGTTTTCTAAATAAATTAAATTGATATAAATAACATGAATATAATATTTCATCATTTTTGTCCATTTTCATTGATCATTTATACAGATATTGAAAATTTTCTAAATGGCACTATCAAAATTCTGCTTTTTATTTCATCCTAGAATGGCTCTCTATTTATACAAAGAAACAATATCAACTTTTATATCTATAAATTATAAAAGTGATTTTTATCAATTTTAATTCATATAACAATTATAGCTACCTCAATTTTTTCTTCCTTTCTCTACCACAGTGGGACTTCAAGTACCCACAGAACACAGGTTTATTTTGTTATTTTTCTATATCCTTATAGAAATACAAATTTGAAACTACCTTGAATTAAAAATATTATTATCATTTGCTTTCGAAAATTTGTTGTTGCTGCTATAACATTGGAAGTTCATTCAGATATATAACTTTATCTTCTGTATACAATTTTGAAGGAATGGAATTTTCAATCTTTTGTGATAATATTATATAGGAAGTAATAATGATGGACTTCGCAAATTATTCTCTACTAGCCTGACCTTACTACATTTAATGCAGTCTAAGATAGTTTAGAATTGTAAATATAATAACCACATCCTTGCAATTTTAACATTCTCTGCATGACATGCCCCTACCCCCAAGCACATACAAAAGAGATTCAAAATCATATTCATAATTCTTTAAACTCTTCTTCATCCTTGCATCCTCACCTTCAAACAATATACAAGAAAAACAAGTCAATTCACAACCACCTAACAACTTGTAATTATTACAAACTTATTCTTGAATTTTTGATAAATTATATTTTTAAATTTATTTTACCTTTGAATCAAAATTTAAATACTTGGTCTAAATTTTCCAGAGCCCTTAATTTCTGTTTTTCTTATACAGAATGTGAAATGAAAGGAATTTCCATTTAAGCAAAAGAGTTGTCACAAAATTCAAAAGATTTTACAGGCAACCAAGTACGAGACTTTCTGTATTCCAAACAGAGTACCTATTTTTGTTAAATATCTTGAGATAAATTGCCTAATTTCAGGAAAATAAATACTGAACACTTCTAATTTTCACTAACCAAAGGATAAAAACACAAAAAAAATCTACACAAAAACAGAGTAGGTTATTTCTTTGTTGAGTAAGACAATTTGTCGATCCCAGTTCACAAGCAGCAGGAGCGATGCCAACAATACAACTTATCACAAAAATAATTGTTTCCCATTCTCTCTCTCTTCTCTTTCTCTACGACAGCACGAATTAGCACTACAAGCACTTACACACCACTGTCGAGCACTGGCTGACCACTGCTTGAGATCTCACACATAAATCAATAGAAAATTTATTTTCACTTGAAATAAATTTCTTTAAAGACTGTCTACATTTCCATAAAAGAAACAGCACTCTTCAAATGCATATTTTGAATTTACAAACCTAATATCAAGTGAAAATAAATTTGCCTCTAAATCTACATCTGAAATAACTAGGCGTTTCCATTTAAAATTTCAAAGTTGCTTCCTGCTCATATTATCTGCTGTGCTATGCATCTGTATCCCTTTTGCTTGATTGTAAAAATTTCCACAAAAATTCAATAGAATCTAAGATTTTCTTTAAAAGTAATAACTGTTGGAATTTTAATTCATGTCGTTGACAGAAATTGAAGATTAGTCATTGCAATCATGAATTTTTTATAGAAACTCTTCTTGTCGGGCCCTCGCAACAAAAAGGGGATAATTCATGTTTATATATACAGTAAATTACTTCCTCTAACATGTTGTGTAGGCAGAATCCATGTTTTGTGGGTCGTTGTTACCGTAAACTTGATTGACGGCAAAAGTCTGTCAATCCGTCTGTCCGTGTGTGGTTAATGCTAGCACCTAAACCGTTCAGCTGATTTTCTCCAAAATTGATATTCCCCAATCAATATGAACAAACTCGAAGCTTTGGGAGTATCAAATGATATTTGGATTTTTGAGGGTACTTTACACTCAGCCTCAAAAACATTTTCAAAATTTTCTCAATTGTGGCACCAAGTTTTTTATTAAACGTTTCCCTCAGATCATGCAAAAGACTCTTAAGAGAGTGATGTAAGTTTCACGTTACTTAAAATATCTAATTTTCAAAAATTGAAAAACTGCAATTTTTTAGGAGGCGTCCTTCTCTAGCCGCAATATTGAACATCGAGATTTTTCTTAATAAAATTTTTTCTTTAAAAACTTCTTGAAATAGGGTCATGTACACTTTTTTGTAAATGAGTAGTTTTGAGTAATTTTGAATGAAATATAGGCAATTTTTAATTTTTCAAACAATTATTTTCTCAAAAACTGTTCCAATTTTTTAAAAAATTCTTCTTGTTTATAATTGACAGTAAAAAATATGGCAATAGTCTCATTTTCGGAGAACTCTCTATATTTTTGAAAATTGCAAAATGTTATTATTTCAAAACTACAAGCCGAGTGTTTTGACACTGTGTTTCTCAATGTGTTTCAACAGCACAGAGGTAAGGCTAACAGCTAGTCAGGGTAAAATCGGAGGACCTGAGTTCAGTCTCTATGTGGAAAATCATGATTGCTGGATGAAAACACTTTTGCAGGTTTATCTAGTAGTATAATATAGCGGAGCAGTTACAAATAATGCAAGAAAGTATGTGGTGTAGGAGCACCATTAGTTTGTTTTATATGTTTGCTATTTTTTCTTTCTAACTAAATACCAGATCATATTTGTAAACTTGGTGGTTTAAATTCACAAAAAAAGTTTTCTTTCATTTTAAACTAAAAATATTTTTATTGGTACGATTGTTTTTAAATTTCATGCTATTTTTATTTCATATTTTATACTTTAATTGGAAGTGGATCAGTATCAGATTTGTATGTGAATTACATCTAAAAATAGGTTAGAAAATGAATTTGATAACTTCAGAGAAAACCATCCCATTTTAATTGGTTTTCATTGCTTTGTTGGAAATTGACTATACTTTCAAGCCAGTTTACAAATTTATCAAATTTTAATAAATTAAAGCCTATAAATTATGTAACAAACTTTGTAATTCATGTTTTTTTAAATAAAAATATTGTTTTGATTTTGTGATATCACAGTGTATGTAGGGGTCAATTCAATTTTCACCTAAAAAAGACAAAACTATAGACGACATTTCCAAATTTATTTTCATAAATTTTGCATGAAAATTTTGAAAGTTATCATGTTGAGCCCATTTTGTCCTTTTTTTCTGTCCCATTTTTGTTGTTTTTTGAACAGAGTACATTATCAGTTTTTTTACATAATCAGTTTTTTTTTTCAAGAGCAAAGTTAATAAAAAGGTAATTTTTATTCCAGAAATGGGAGACAACATATACATTCCAATGTTGCAAAAACAGTCTCACAGTCAAGAATCGTCCCAAATGTGTAGCACAAAACAAACAATTCATCAATGCAAAAGCAGCATTAATAACTCTAATGTTGAAGAACAAGAGGTAGTGGCAGTAAAGACTCAGTGTGTAGGTATTCAACAAACAGAAGAAGCAGCAAATGTAAAGAAAGCACAGCAAGTTGTTTCAAGTGCTGTTGCGACCATGAAAATGTCATCACGTCAAATGGGACATTGTACACAAATCAAGTCATCTATCATTGGTTCTGCAGAAATTGACACAAAAGGGAAACCTAAACCATTAATGTTGACACATAAAGAAGGTAGTACTGCTTTACAAGTAGAAAAAATCATTAATGATGACTCAGATGATTATGATGACATTCTTGAATCTTAAATTAATGTTAAACTGTGAGCAAATTATAGGTTTATATGATATAAATGTAATGTTACATAGTATGTATTAAAAGTTTTTGTCATCAACAGTATCTTATTCTTGTGAATGGTAAGCATGCTCTTGCAATGAATTATTGAAAACAAAAATATATGATCAAATGGACAATACAAATTAGATTTTTTTTGAATTGGAGTTAGAAACTTAAAGTAAGTTTTATTTGCCAAATGTTTTTGTCTATTAAGAGGTCAATCTCAATTCTTTAGAGCCAAAGAACTATTTTAAAATGTAAAATGTATTTTTATCTTGCTTATCCTTGAGATAAAAAGAATAGCTTACTAGATAGTGTATCTGGTGGTTTCTTACTGAAATAATTTAAAAAGTTAATTCATATCTGATATCAGATCATTAGTTCCTTATTATAGAAATGAATATTTATTTATTGTAGTGTATTCAATATATAAATATTGATGTTTGAAGAATGTTAATTGCTTATCAAGTTTATGTATTTGTTTATATACACATGTGTATTTCCTAACCAAGAAGTTCTTTCTCTAGTTTCTTCTTTTTTTTTTTTTGCAAACTAGTGAGAAATGGGTCAAAGAAGAGACCTAGTAGATCACTTATTTTGTTAAATTTTAATACTTTATGTAGAATATCTGTTTAGTCAACTCAAACAATTTTATTAATGGCAAATAAAATATATCCTTAATTTTGTACAATCCACATAGAAATGTGCTGAAATATATTACAGTATAAATACTTATGACAATAAAGGAAGTAGCTGTACTATATCGAATCGTACTATTATAGAAAACCTAATACAATCACATTAATTGCATAGATTAAGAGAGATTACTTAAAATTTTATTAAACATCCTTTTAAAATATATTGTATAAACTTGTTTTAGAAGACGTGAATTTGCTATATATTAATAGACAATTTACTGGAGCTGAAAGATTGTTTATAATTGGTCATGTATAGAGAAACAGTATTGAATATCAAGGATGTTAAGTATGAAATGCCATTTCCAAGGAGACCACATATTATTACCATTATCTTCTTTTGATAATTCCATTTGAATTCTCCAAATTTTCAAATTCATGATTTTCACAAGAGACACACTTGCCCTTGATAATTTGGAATATATATCATTAAAATAAGATATAAATACTGCAATTTGGACAGATGTCTAGTAAAATTAGAATGTAATATTGCTTTATAGGGAGGTTCGTCAATGACTAAATCAAGAAATTCATTATTAAGTTGTTTAATCGTATGAAAGTCACAAAATGAAATATCAAATAACAAAGATAGTCATTAGGACTTTCAGAGCACCAAAATTGTCTGTAAAAGCTTTAAAAAGGTAGAAATGCAGACAAAATTCAAAGTTTTCAGTGCAGTGCAAAGCCCAGACAAATTTTCAGTTAAAGAACTCTTCAAAAGAAGTCAGTTTTCTATGTCTGTGTACAAAAGATATCTGATAAGGTTCTGTGAGCTTTCAAGTAATAATAATTATTAAAATAACAACAATAATAATAGTAATAATGATAATAATAGTAATAATGATAATAATAGTAATAATGATAATAATAACAATAATTACAATAATACATTTTTATGAATAAATGAACAAAGAGTGTAAAATAAATTGCTACTCATAAATTTCTTCAATGTTGACATTGCCTCTAAAATGATTTGATTTAAGATCAGAAAGTATTTTTCTGAATATAATTAACTAATTTTCTTAAAAACGTATTGTTGAAAATGTGCAAAACGTCTCCAAATATTTGAAAAAATTTAACAGACATAAAACCTTTTTATAATACCAACAATGACCTAATTGAAACTGTATGGCACTGGAAGTACATTGAATCTGTTTTTATTGCAAATTACTTTTCATTCCTAAAAATACTCAATGACTTCAAATGTTAGCAACTTATTTTATTTACTACATGGATGTATGTACATGAGTATATACACTTATGGGCTCTTGTATACATGGTTTTTATAAAGGTGTTGCAGAATAAATGTTACAAGGTCTAGGGTAAATAGACTTGTCAAAAATGATCACTTATTGCCACTGAACATTTCATAGTTGTATGGAAACTCATCGACATTTGCCTTTGATTGTCAGGCAACTCCATATGCGCTGATGTTCTTCATGTACATGAACTCTCCTAAGGCATCAGAACATGTCTTGCCAAATATCAAGGGAAAATCTTATATGTGTAACTTTATTGTATAAAATTTCCCACTGAATGTTCTTTGACAAAAACTGATAATTTTTGACCCCTTACGTGCCCTAAAAGTTAGTAACACTTATTCTGGGACAATCTATACATATGTTTCTGCACAAGTGCACATTTGAGAAGTATGCACATAAAATTTCAGAGGATTTCTTATGAATTAGTCCTTGTCAGTTCAGTCTTTTCCATCTAATTCATTTAAAAAAGAAAACAAAATTGGATTTATTGAGATATTAGGCTATTGAAAAAACAAAACAAAACAGAACAAAAAAATCTTACGATTCCATGTGGTATGGACTACGTCCAATGTATGTCATGCTGAAAACATGAATTATATCACAAATGATTCATACATATGTGTAATTTCTTATAAAAGTACCTAATGAAATGAATGAATGATAATGTTTGATCATTAGTAGAATAATCCTCATAGGATTAACTCAGATGTACAATTTTATGAATATATCTAAAGAGTAATTTAATATATGTTGTTTGTATGTGAAATGTTGATACAGAACCATATTTGTAAAAAGAATAATAAATTTTTCACATCGGAACATATTGTGAAGCTTCTTTTTCTTCTAATTTTATTTTACTGATTGTGTGTGTATGTGAGTGTTAGCGCGTGCAGATACGGTATTTGTCTAAGGTATACCTATGCCTTGTCGCACGTGACCAGTAAGCTTGGATTGACAGTTGGCTTTACCATTACACACGTGCGCGCGCACACACATACTCGCTCAGCGGTGTAGTCCGAGGGAGTACTAAAATGGAGGGCTAACAACATAAGAGAAAATGATAGTGAGTGAAACGACCGGGAGATAAATAAGATGATGTAAGAGCTGGCTTTAGTACTAAATTAATAAATTAAAAAAACAAAAACAAAACTGGTAGTGATACCTCTTGAAACATGAGCCAAAAGAAAAAAATTCGTTTCAGCCCGACACCCTTGAAGACATGAAGAGGTACCGGATAGTTCATGGCGTATTTGGATAGTATATGGATGCGAATTTGAAGATTCTTCGAGATTGGATCCGCACCTATGAGCCCAGACGCGAAGACTCGCGATGGCATGGATGTGGCGACACGCGCTTACTGCATGTGCAGTGATGCGTGAGTCAGCGGATACGATGTCATGGCGTGTATTCGCCTGTCGGATTCTAAAACCGCACGGGCGTACATAAGATCTTGTCATAGTTAGATCGTATGTACTTGATGAGTTGAACACACCTACTCACGAAACGTACTCGGCATTAATAACAACAACAACAACAATAATAATAATAATAATAATAATAATAATAATAATAATAATAATAATAATAATAATAATAATAATAATAATAATAATAATAATAATAATAATAATAATAATAATAATAATATTTATTGAGTAACATATAAATTTACAATTATGTATGACGAGAGAGAAGGAGAGAGAGAGAGAGACAGAAAGAGAGGAGGAGGGAGAGAGAGAGACAGTGTGTGTGTGTGCGCGCGTGCGTGCGCGCCCGTGTGTGTGAGGGAGAGAGAGATAGGGGGAGTGAGAGTGAGTGTGTACAATCGCATACATCTTCTTGAGTGCAGCAAGTGAAGTTACATTTATTTTTATTGTCCAGAAGCAAAACACAGAGCCATCTCAGCATTTGCTCAAAGCACCAGAGAAACTGGACAAGAAACCTGATCAAGCTGGGGTCATTGGCCCAGAGATTATGCTACAATACTTGTTACAGATATATTAAGATATTACATAGTAGATAATTATTTTTAGTAGCAAATAGTTGAACATTTTCCTTACTTTAATTTAATTTAAAGTACTTTAACATTTCAAGATTTATACTGTTTCATTTTTCAGTTAAGTCCTCTTACATGGATCTCTTCCCATTGAGAAATAAAGGGAAATGAAAATGCGGACTATTCAGGCACAAAGGCTTCTACACTTCCTTTACCCAATTACTCCATCTCTGGTTACCTTGAACACTTTACAAACATTTCTTCTATTATCATCATGACGACTAAGGGTTTTGAAATGGAAAGCAAAATAAGATTATTAAAATAATCTTAAATAGAAAATAAAATTATGTCATTTTAGGAATTTAATACTAGGTCCTCCTCTTCTCCTCCACTTCAAAAGAAAACATAAAGTTATTTTATGAAGACTCCAAATTGGCCACTTTAATTTGAGCCACAGTTATTTATTTAAAAAAATATCCAAATACATGTCCAAGTTGTGGTGAAATTACTTCAACATCCCATTATTAGTTGAATGCCCTTTCACAAGTGATCTCAGGAAAAACTTAAAATATGATGTTGATATCAATTCTTTATTAACTTCACATTGTGACAAAATTATTAAATTTCTATGCATCACAAAATTAGAAATATGTTTGTATTAGTTCCTTTCTTGTTAAAAATATTCATATACTTGTAATATTAAATGAACTCAATTCAGGCAAAAAGGCTTCTAAACTTCCATTACTCAATTAATCCATCTCTGGTTACCTTGAACACTTTACAAAAATTTCTTCCATTATCATGATTACTATTATCATCATTACAGCAAAAATTACATGAATTTTTAAAAATTGTTAAAATATTGTCTTATGAAATATTGCTATGAATCAAATATTTAAATTTTATTATAATGTAAAAGAGATTTTGATAACTTATGACCAAGTAGTTGCACAGCGATCTAAAATAAATAATATATAAACAAAAAATGTCAGAATGTTTTCAAACAGCAATTATCAGTG